GATTGAATCTAGACCGATCCAATGATCATCGTTGTATTTTCGTAAGGTGCTAACCTTATACAATAGAGGTAAGGTGCACCTCAAAATCCACCCATAAAAGTTGTTCTGATGTCGAAAAACCCTACAATTGATCATCTCGACCTTGAGATCTATGATATGAAAAAATGGATTTTAAGTCCTAAAAATAGTCTCTCTTATTATTATCTAGGCCGTCTATTTTTTTTAATTTCTAAGGGTTTATAGATTTGCTCAATCTATATTAGTTTTAGAATTTTAAATTTTATAATTGCTGGTGAAATTTATTTTTTTTGGGACATCATAGGGATTTTTGACACTAGAACTGCATCTTGAAGCAAGATTTAGAGGTGCACCTTCCTTTGATTGTTTAAGGTTGACATCTTATACAAATCACACAATATATATATATATATATGAGTTCAGTTTGCTGCTTCACATATGAATTCTCACTAGTTTAGATATGTCTATTTCATTGCTTAGAGTCCTTGCAAGCTTTCATGATGAGGTTGATGCTATTTCTGCATTTTGTCAATGTATTAAGACTCGTAAGTCTTGTAATTCATTTTGCATGTTTAAAAGGAAATTATTTGATCAATTGTGGTTGAAATTCAACAAAAAATAATAAATGTGTTTGAGGATCAATATCTGGTTTTACTTGTACTTGTTCTAATTATAACTTACATGTAATCTTTGCGAGTCTGGTGTACAAATAGAGGTTAAGTAGTAATATCCCTAGTTTGATCTGATGATTTCCTAACAATTTGGTTAAATTGAAGCATAACTATCAAAGGAAAAGAAAAAACAAAGAAATTGGTTGAATTAAAGCATTAATCGCTCCTAAAGAGTTTTCTTTTATGGAAATCTCATCCTTGTTTGAAGGAAAGTCCCATTTCCTTCCTATGCCATTAACTGGTGATTATGACATTCTATTGCAAAGTAGATAACGGTGAACATAGGTTGGACTTACTTTTCAGGTTTCTTATCTTGTTTGTTGCTTGCTTTTATTCACATGGACTTTCATTTGTTAGAGCTGAGGCTTGATTCAACACATAATTTTAATATTTACTCCCACCACACTGTGATATAAGCTAGTTGATGAACACTTTATTGCCTTTTCTTATCGCAAGATTGTTCCATTTAAATGAATAGACATATGTTTGAGTAGATGATCTATACCATTATCATTTGCCTGCAGGCACAATTGATTTCTAATGGCTAATGTTTATCAGGATATATGAAATGCTGTTGATGTAGAATCCTTATGTATTTTCTAAAAGAGCTTTACCACCGATCAAGAGCATCTGTTTCACTTGTGCCATTTCTCAAATTCACACATATCTGAATCCCAATAAACAGTTTTTATTTTTATTTTTGTTGGGGATATCTATATATAATAAGGCCAGTCAGGTTTCTGATGGATCTCTGGGACTATTGTTTGTTTAAATGATTTTTTTCTGTTTGAATCTATTGAATGAGTGAGGGAGTTCTGGTGATTAGACTAATTATCTTGTAATGTTGCCAAGGCTCTAGGGATCTTAGTTGACTTTTTGTGAGGTGTTTTGGTAAAACTGGATTTATATCTCTACTTAGGGCCTTTCAGCCATGTTCTCTGTTCATGAATAGGAGACAAACTTGTGGAAATATTGAGTTATAGACTTGTGCATCTCAGTAATATTAAAGAGACCATCCGTTTTGTGGAATATTAACTCCAATGATATTTTTGTTATGCAAAAACTTAGTTTTTCTAGGATCATGCTGGTATTATTGGTTCCTCTTCATTAGTAAACCAAAATATATTGAATTTGCACAAGCCATGGCATGCAGCATGCACCATATTTTTTTATGTTTGCATTTTCCTATGACACTAAATAATCTGAAAGTTTTATGGTTGGATGTATTGCATTTCAGTCAATACCTTTTTATTTATTTAGTTATTTGTGATTGTTCCTTTCATCAAATAATCTGTTTGAGATGAGTATCTATGTCTTACAGCAGATCCCTCATGCGTTCCTCAAGCATATTAAGAAAGCAGCAGCTGGACTTGCCATATTGAGAGGACCAAGCGGAAACTTATGGCATGTTGAAGTAAATATAACTAATGATTCAGTGGCTTTCCAAGAAGGTTGGCCACAGTTTGTAACAGATCACTCTTTACAACTGGGTGAATTCCTAGTATTCAAACATGATGGTGATTTGCAATTTTCTGTTTCAATTTACGATAGATATGCATGTCAAAAGGAAAATGCCTATTTTGCCAAACCCTCTGAAGGAGTCAACTCTTCGATTAAAAAATGGAAGATGGCAATGGAGAATGAGCACACTTTGTGCTTAGAATATCCAAAGATAGGCAATCATAAAAGTATTGTCAAAGATAAGCATGAGATGCAAATTGTATTTGCACAGAAAAAATACCTTAAAAATGACAGGGCCTCTGTTGATCAAAGGTTTTCTGAGCAACAGTCATTTAGAAATGACAGGTTATGTGTTGATCAGAGTTTCGCAAAGGAAAAATCCCTTAAAAATGACAGGGTTGCTGTTGATCAAAGGGTTGCAAGGCCATCTCTTGATATTTGTTCAGATTTCATGACGAGGAATGGATCTAAACAGATCATTGCAAAAGAAGATCATATTGTAATTTCAATCAAAGAAGAAGATAATGCTTATTCTCCAAAATCAACTGCTGGTCCAAGCGCTTCTGCTACTCTTAAGCTTTCTGTCAGTGATAAGAATGAGAAGCCAAGGAGACATCGTAGAAAACCATCTCTTCAATCTGGTTCAGATTTAAGAGCTGGGATTGAGGGGCAGAAAAGCATTAGAGAACAACCTTATATCTTGCATGCATTTAAAGAAGAGAAAAACTTTAATTTTCCAAGATCAACCCCTGCTCCTCTAGCTATTGCCTACGATGATCAGTGTGAGTTCCTATAACTAAATTGATTAATTTTCTCGTTTATTATCTATTACTTCCCTACTGAGTCGATTACTTCTGATGCTGTAAGCTTTTTTAACAATCTTAGAACATGGTCACTTCATTATGGTTCAGATTCGAAAACTAGGATTGAGGATATGCAACTTAGAGAAGTGCCTTTTAGTGTGGATTTGACAGAAAAAGAAAAAGAGTTTTCTCATCCAAGATCAACTGTTCTACCAATTACTCCTGCTGCTCTATATATTGCCTACCATGATCAGCGTGAGTTCCACCTGTGCATGTTTCTCTTAGTACGTTACTCTAGCTCATTTTTCTCTTTTATTATGTGTTGATCAACTGCTTAGCCAATTACTGCTACTGCTTTAAACTCGTGTGAGCAGTATTAAGCAAGAATTGCACTGGATGGTTTCTTTGTATGTTATTGAAATTAGGGTGATTTTTTTCTTTTTGAGGAAAGATTAACTAATTAGTGTGGTTATTAAGCTCGTCTTTTATGTAATATTTTATCTGCAGGTCAACATTTCATGCCCAATCAGATTGTGACTGATGGACGGGAATCAGTTTTTTTGGTAAAAAGGCGACACATACATGAAGAAGAAAAGAGATTTGCTATTGAAGCAGCCAAGTCCTTCAAGTCAGATAATCCTTTTTTCACAGTAGTTGAACCATTTTACACATATCCATCAAAAGTTGAACTGGTAAGCTTTGTCAGTCCTACGACCTTTTCAGTTGTCATGTGTATTGCCTGCACCTCTCCTTGAAGATATCCTATGAGAAATACTATATTAAATAGAGGTTGAAGTAAAGTTCAAATTAGAGGCATTTTTCATTGACCAAACCTTTAACTGCTGCAATCATATCAGGAGTCCTTATCATCAGTGATCTTCTCTAAGAGGAGCTTACATCATTGCCAATATGTCCACATCATCTTCACCTCCTTGAGAACTGAGAGATTATGGGAGTCTAAACCTGTCTTATGAGGTTATGGAATTCTGAATCTTTAGAAACTAAGGTCAATGAGACTTTTATACGAGAGACTGTACTTAAAAACTGTATTTCACCAACTACCATTTATATGCAGACAAGACTACAATATGAACGTACAAGAATTTAGGAACTTCATATGTTCAGTTCTCCTCCTATTGCTTTAAAATGACTTCAAGCATTCCCACATCCGGATAAGGTCTTTAAATGATCCATTCTAAGGGTTTTGGAGGTTTTGGTGCTACAAAACCCTGAAAACCTAATATCCCAAAACCCTAACTTTCTCCCAAAGTAGCACATTTGGCATTTAGGCCACTCCACTATGACCTGCCTTGTTGTGTGAGGAATGAGGGGCATGGGATTATTTTTTTTGCTTTTGGTATTATTTATTTTTCTTCCCTGAAATGTCAGAGAGAAAGTATGAAATGATACCCTACTGATCATTGCTTTCCAAGAACTGCACAAGACCAGGAAGTTCACTGAGATATGCCAGCTTATTTGTTCTCAATGTTCCATCAAGGTTAACCCGACTGCTTAAGAAGCCCATTTTTTCTTTAGAGGACCAGTCCTCCGCTGTTCTAGGTGAACCCTCCTGTCTAGTTTATTTATTTCTTTGGAGTTTTAGTCCAGCCAGATAGGATTTTGGTAATTGTCATCCTCAGCTCTCTTTTTTTCAATAAGTAAAACAAAATGTCTGTAATGGGAGTCGAACCAATCCCGTCAACTATATCACAATTCTACCACATTAGACAAGACCACACTTACTGTCACCCTCAACTAACACGAATCAGTTTCTAGACTCAGGCCTGATCTGAGTCGGCTCAATTTGGTACTCCTTAAGCCTTTAAACAGAAGTACCCTTTTTAAAAGGTCTGAATCTTTAAATCACTTTCTTATTCGCAAACGAACCAAAATACAGACTAATCATTTTCTTATCTCAATGAGTGTGTCCTCTATTAGAAGAAGTAGTGGGGGAGATGGACTTTGCTAACCCATTTCATTTTACTCCTGGACTCTTTTGAGAGATGGGTAATGGAAGTGACAGTAGTCATTTCCAAAAAAGAAAATGATTACCAAAAGATCAAGAAAACAAGCAGTAGGGTGCACAAAGAAAATGGCTCCAGTTGGCCCTTCGATCAAAGAAAATAACGTTCTTATCCCAAAAAAGAAAAGACAAATAAAAAAATCTCCATTTTTTATAGATTGGTACCATGATCGAATTATTTCTGCATTTGTACAGTTCTATTTAATATCCATGACACCATTTTTGTTGTGCTTCCAGGATATACCAAAGGAGTTCAGGGTTAAACATCTTTCTACGTCAAGGAATATGACTCTATGGGATCCAAAACAAAAAGATTGGCCTGTTTTTTATGAAAATTGGGATACCTTGGGTGGACTCACATCAGGATGGTCCGAGTTTGCATTAGGTAATACCCTGAAAGGAGGAGATGTCTGTGTTTTTGAGCTTGTAAATGATCGTGAGTTCTCTATACACATTTACCCTGTGGTCAAAGATTTAATTTTTGTCGGTAAGTAGAAAGCCAAAAGACTTAACCAGAGAAAGTTAAACTGATGGATTTGAATTTTGTCGGTTGGAGGCATTTTGTCAAGATTGGTTGGGATGAACTTCATTATGTGAAATTTTTACAAGGTTCCATAGATTTGGATCCAATGATCTTTGCTTGCTCATCTGAGAGGTTGGAAGAATTGAAGAGTGAAAATGACTGATGTATCTACTACAATATGTTACGAAGAAAAAACCATTTTTGTGACAGTTTCTGGTTGGTATGGTGACTAACTTATATTGCAAAGTAATTTTGGTTTGTGACAGTTTAGCATCTGGAAATATAACCATGATTTTTGTGCCAGTGTTGCTTGCTAACTATATCCATGCACGAAAAAAAAAATTAGAAGGAAAAAGTTTATATAAAGCCGAGGCTCTAAACAATCAATTTAGGGTGCACCTCAAAAATCACTTAAAGAGGTTGTTTCGAAGCTCGAAAATTCTCAAATTGATCATCTCGACCTCAAGATATATGGACATGAGAAAAAATAGATTTCAAGTCTTAGAAATCATGCATCTTGTAATAAATTTTCGGACTGTCAATTTTCAAGTGTTCAGATCTGCACTACTTTTGGAGTATTGAATTTTATAATTAGAGATAAAAATAAAATTTCAGGCCATCACAAAGATTTTCAGTATTAAAACCGCATCTTTTGATACTATTTGAAGGTGTGCCTTACTTTGACTGTTTAGAGCCTTGGCCCTATACAAGCCACACTCAAATAGAAAGGTGGAATCTGTGCGAACCATTCTCTCAATGATTTTCATTCTATATATTTATTCATATATTTGTATCTTCCATTTAAAAAAACAAATATTTAACAATCTCTACAACAATATATCTTCAAGGATTTATTCAAATTGGAATTTGTCATAAGGGAAAGCTTCATATGTGACCCCATACCCCTGCTCTCAATCTACTCAGATTTGAGTAGATAGTTAGGATCACTTGAGTCACAATGTCACAAGTTGGCTCTTCGAGCGTCAGATTTTGATCCGACGGCTCAAAGTTTTTTATTTTAGATATTTATTATATAAATTATTTTGCATCAAAATTTGAGGCATACATATATCTTAGACGAGCACACATATAAAAATATTAACAAAATATTTCATTTGATGGAAAATTATCAGAATACCCCTGAAACTTTTCGGGCCATATAAGCCATTTATTTTCACGATAACATTTTTTGAAGATGCTCCCCAATAAGGTGGGACTCCCCAAATTTCAGTCAAAGGTTTTGTAGAAAAAAAAAATAGTGTTTTGGTGTGATATTATGAAATGAGCAATTCTAGTTGTACATTCAGATCGAATGGCAGAGGAGCATCGCATATAATTTTATATGGGCGGATCACGTAGAAAGCTTTCCTTTGTCATTATAGCAGATATTGAGGAGCTGAGAAGACATTTAGTTTAAAGTTTGATCTCCACTTTTTTACATTTCACTGTACCCATTTTCACAGATGACCCCATCTTTCATTAGTGGATGTTAAAATTACACTTAAATTACTAGTGCATTCATTTAGCATTAATTTATTCTTCTTACATTAATGATAAGTTGAACCAGCAGTTCATGTATATAAGTGCAATTTTAACATCCACTGGACCTCAATTTCTTTCAGCACCAATCGAACCTTGGGTGTTCTCTTGCAGCTCTCAAGGCACTGACACCATACCTGTCCTCAAATCCAATTTAAATTTGGTTTGCTTTTCCATTTGATCCTTCCATGTCGAAGCGTGCTCATACAACTCAAAATCCGTTTCTCTAGAATCTTCTATAATTTATATTTTTATGTTAGCTTAATAGTTTTAATTAGTTAAAATTAAAACTATTTTAATTTTAGCAATTTTACAAGGCCTTAAAATTATAAAGGATCAGAATATCCATGTACCATGTGTTGTTGAAGGCGATTCTTTGAATGCAATCAATTGGTATAATGTTACTTCAAAAACACTGTCGAAATTAAGATCAATTTGGGTGGAGATCATGGACTTACGCTTGGACTGTCTATCTCGTTTAGACATATCCTTCGACAGGGTAACAATGTGGTAGATTCTTTAGCAAAGAGAGGTGTTTCCTTTCAATCGTTGATTGTATCGGATAATCTTATTGCTTGATTACTTTGTAATGATTTACAGTCAATAAAATTACAGAATATTGGTAAAAAAAAAAATGTTTGAATTAGTAGGATGCATTAAATTAGTTAAAATATAATTACTTATTATAATTGCAGAAAAAGACATATATCCCCATCTATAATATAATAATCCCAAATAAACCCTTATATCTATGAGAACTCATAGACCCCCCTCTAAGTTAAAAGAAAAAAAATGTTTAACCCCTTTTATGCTTTTTTTGTTGTACAAATTACAGCACTCATTCTTTTTATTTTTTCCATTGGTTCCATCATCCAAACCCTCAAAGACTTCCCCTCTCTCTTCTTTACATGTGAACCCCTTCCTCACATTTTTTGGACCGTCAATTTTCAAGTGTTCATAAATATGCTCGATGAACACTATTATATATTTTATAATTAAAGATGAAAACAAATTTTCAGGCCATCACAAAAATTTTCAATATTGAAACAATGCCTTTCGACACTATTTAAAGGTGCGCATTGTTTAGGGCCTAGCCTTATACAAACCACACCGTTCAATAAATCCTCTCTTGCTATACCGTGTATGATAAATGACTTGTATAAACCACAGGGGTATAGGAATCTATTCCATGCATGGTCAAAAGTAGTGATAATTGATTAAAATTGAACAAATTTATGAAGTAAAGTACATGGCAAGGTTGTTCACTTTTTGCACAAATTAGGTTACAATCACTTGTTCACTTTTTGCACAAATTAGGTTACAATCACTTTTTGCTGTCGAATATGAAATCAAGTAATTGGGGGTGTGCCACTATAGTAGGCAAAGATCAAGAGAATTGTCTTCGAATTTTTGTTTGGAGAAATGATACTTCAAATGTTTGTTTAAGTACTTTATGGTTTAGGGTGTTTGTGACCCTTTGGCATTGTGGTTAAATTTCAAGATATGTCACCAAGAATTAAACACTTATTTTCTACACTATTCTCAATGTTTCCTTCTTCTCCTTCTTTTTCTGCTTTGAGACATTTTTCCTTGTTTTTGTTCTTTTTGAGAAAAATAAGTAACATCAAAATGTTAATGAGGTGTTCAAATCAACTACCATATTAATAAAGTAGTCACTTTTTAAAATTTTCACTTGCGAACTTAATCAAACTTTTATTTAAAATAACTAAAGATACTTATTCCGAAGTTTGGAACCCTAAACAAGTAATGGAATTTTTGTAAACGTGGCCATCGTAGTTGCTCAAGCTAAACCACCAATACAAAGAAAACTATTCTTTGAGTCAGCGGGTGCAAGAGCCCGCTGACTCTTCAATGTCCATCTTTAAGATGGATGTTGTATAAAGCACCAAATCAGGTATGGACAGTGCCAAAACCATCCCAAACAAGAAGAAGCCAAGGTTTATTATTTTATTTTTTATTTTTATTTTTAGTATTTATGATTGTCTTGGCTTAGATGATAAATCCCTAAAATTTTGGATAAAAAATCCATTTTAAATCATCTTGGATTAGATGATGAATCCCTAAAATTTTGGACCAAAAACCCCATTTTTAAGGTGAATTTTAGAAAGGGGCTGCATGTGTAAATATGAGTCGGTTGACTCATAAAAACTCCATCTTCATGAAAAATGCTTGTTTTAAATTTGAAACCCATAAAAAGGATGGCTATTTAGATCCTTTAGCACAAGTGGCATATGTCAACAGAAGTACTAAAATCCCCCGACTTGTTCTAGGTTTCAAATTCAAAACATGAGCAGTTGGATTATTTTTAACAAAATAATCAATAAGAGACTTAAAGTGAAAGCTTTTTTAAAAAATTACTACTTATGTTATTAATTAGTAGATTTAAGCACCTGATTGGTTTTTTAATACAGTTTGACCAATTTATTGATTTTTTTTTTTCTTCAATTTAAAATTACAAAAAGATGTATAAGTGAACAATGTGGGAGCTATGAGGAACATGAAGGACTGAGGACCAAGAAAGATTCAACATTTATTACTTATTA